TGTTTTGATCAGGCAATTTCTCTATTGGGTTGCTTGAATCAAAACTAAGGCTCTATGCAAGTTTCCCGTGTTGAAAAACTAGGAAAACAACTTTCGTCAGTGCAGACAGGTCGACCGGTGAGTTATAACGTCTCTGTCACCGGTCGACCGGTTGTAACGTAAAATGCATGCTGACGTGGCAAAATCGACTCTGGATGCGATTAAGACTTTGGGAAACCTAATTATTACGGAAGTATGACTTTCTAAACACTATAAATAGCCTATTAAGTCACATTACTCATTAGATCACTTGAGAGACTTTTTAGAGGCTATTGATAAAAGATTCCTGAGATGACAAATTGTTTAATTCTCAAGAACAATTTTTTTCTTTGGCTCTCTTGTGATTGGAAGGAGATCAAGAATACCAAGAGGAGATTGAACAACGTGTGCCCACCCGCACTCCGATCATGAAAATGAGAATAGCAAAGAAGACCAGTTGGTTGAGGCTCTTCCGGTTGCTGTTTGGAACGCTTTGATCTGTCAGACGTGTAGTTTTCTAAATCTAAAAATGGTATGATTTAGATCTTTAGTATTTATGTTATATAGCATCATGAACATGTTCTTGGTTGGCTTTGACGTTGATTAAATTTTTAAAATTCCGCTGCGCACTCGATGCTATTATTTTTCAACAAGTGTACCGTAATCGTCGTACGCACTAATAATAGTATATGTAGACTTACGTTATTAATTATGTATATATTGTTGTCCTTTTGCTCTCCATTTATAATGGAAACTGATCTTCTAATAATTTTTTATATGGTATTTTAATTTATTAAATGAAAAAAATGCCTACTTTGTTTTTAAATTTATTACTACTTACAGATGATTCACTTTTATTTATTCAAATTCAATTGCATTAAATCAATTATATGAAAGAAATAAAAAAGTTTCAGGATACTATTCACAACTCAAGTATTAGTAGAAACAAACACAAACTCAAATAGATTCTAATCTCAAACTATAACTCAAATTTACACAATCAAACACAAATTCAAATTACAACTTCAACTCATGTTATAACTCAAACTCAACTCAAGATTTACACTCAAATCACATAACTCTAAAAGAGCAAAATAACAAGCCCTAAGTGAATATTAAAATACCTTTAATAAATGTTTTTGGACTGTCATAATTATGTACTAATTAATTTTGACATGGTTGTTTGAATTTAAGTTACCTATTGCCTTGAAAAAAACCAAGTGAGATTTGTCT